TAATAGTTGTATTTTTATTAAAGAAGACATGGAGATGACAGCGACAGGTACATACTGCTTTTTTATCTGTTTGTCCTATCTTTAATGTATCTTTTATGAATTCTGAAAGATGACTATAAGGATCTCTCATGTTGTCTTGAAACACAACATCATAGAAAAGGTTTCTTCTGAAACAGGGAGTTTTGAAGGTTGCAACCGGCTTCTTTAAGCTCAATTGCTTCTCAATATCCTTTGCAACCTAACAAACGAGGATGATACAGGTTCTTAGTAAGCTTAAAAGTCTTTACCATGACATAAGAATCACTAGATAAAAATACAAAGTCACTCACAACTTTACTTGCTGTTGCAGTTAAGGCTATCCAAGGAATGTCGAGATATGCTTGTCTCAACCTCCCAAGTTTTAAGAAGTCAGGGCGGAAGTCATGTCCCCATTGACTGACACAGTGAGCCTCATCAACAACTATGTATGAGACCTTCTTTTGCCTATGAAGCTCTTCAAGTAGGGACTAAGAGTCACAACAATTTATTATGAGAATAAAACCAGAGTATTGTTGATGATTTTTTAAATATACTATGAATGTACTAACCTGAAAGTTATCAGTGCTTGCTTGTTCGGGTGTTATGTACAACAACCGTGTGTGTGGGCGCATACAACGTAAATCCTGAACAACAGCCTTTCGTTCTGAGCTTGACATTTTAGAGTTAATGGAATTAGCAACAATACGAAGCTTTGCCAGGTGATCAATTTGATCCTAAGGTAAATACAAAAAAAAAATGGAAGGAAGATTAGACAAATCAAAAACCCAAAATAGACCAACATTTACCCAAACTGCATTGCTTACTTTCATAAGAGCCAGAAGTGGTGAAAATACCAATGCAACTTTATCACTGTGTAAAACAGCAGGGAGCTGAAAACATAAGGACTTGCCAGACCCTGTAGGCATTGAAACAAATACATCTCCTTTCCCTGTAACAAAACCAATCAAAGAAGTGAGCAATAAATACATTGATCTAGTACAAAGCCCACATAATGATAGAACAAATCAGTGAAAAAATTGGCATAAACGTCAAGTTATAACACAAATGGAAAAACCACACTGTTTAAAATCAAAATCTAATTTGAAATTGAGATGACATTTAAGTATTATGTTTTTAATCTGTTTTCAAAATAATAGTAAGCATAGGTTAGAGATAGACAACATCAAATTACTTTTCACAATTTCACGGATAGCCTGTTCTTGAAGTTTGCTCTTAAATTGATTGTGACCAAAGTGTTCCTTCAGCTGCGATAAGAGATGGTCATCCTCATTTGAGGATTTCTTCTCTGCCGACATTTTGAGGAAAATTACTGCACTGTTGTGGAATTACTGCTTCAACGCCATCATGGCCCCCCAACCCAACAGCAACAGTGGCAACAGCGCATTTGTCAGTATTTTCAGCAACTGACCCTGCGAATACACGTCGCGATACATCCTGCAAATAATGATCATAAGATAAGGTGGAATTCAATGGAATTCAAGTGATAGCGTTTCTTCACATGTAATGTCACCGCACGGCAAAGGAGGTATTTAGGTGGCAATGGGGTAGGGAGGCCGGGGCTTCATTAGCTTCATCTACCACAAGGACAAAGAGAAGGGCGGGTTCGGGTTCATTTCCAAAATTAGCACCGGTGTCCCTCCAAAATCCTGTCTGAATCATCCCAGGAAAAGAGTAGTACATTTGATTATTGCTTACATGGTCTCCAGCAGCGCCAGCACTGGGCAGGGCAGGGCAGCGGTGGCCCTGCTCCCACTCGGGCTGGGCAGAGGGGCGGAGGACCAGGGGGAAGTACCTGGAGTGGGGGTAGTGGGCGCGGCGTGGCGTGTGGTACCGTCTCGCGTCCCATCCCGTCCCACACAGGCGTGCTAGAGGCACACGGGCGAGCACCGCGGCGAGAAGGAGCGCGCAGAGAGGCGTCCATGGAGTGAGCCTCGTCGTTGTAGGAGCCAGGGAGCAGGAAAGCGGGGCGCAGCACGGCACCCCCGTCCCAACCAGCGCCCAAGTCTTGAGCCGCCCGCCTCTACCATGGACCTCCTTACCGGTAAGTCAGCGAGCCAAATGCTCTCCGCGACCGCCGCGCCGACGGTGGCACTGGTGGTGGCACGGTGGCCGTCGCTTGACCAGGTGCGTGGGGTTGATCAACCCCACATCATGACGAGGGATGTCCCCGTGTGTCTCACTGTGGGGTGCGTCGTCACTCCCACGCTGACATCGCCTCAGCCTTGCGTCTACGAGGGAAGGCTTTACCTTCGGTCAAAATGTCAGCAGATCACCGGCAATAAGGCATGGTACTTTACGCAGGATCGTGTGAAAACTTTAAAGTGCAGAGTTTCTTCAACGACCGACCCTGGCTGTAAAGCGGTCGAGGGGACGGGGGGAGGCGAGGAGGAGGAGGGGGTAGTTGTTGGGCATCGCGCAAGTGCGAGTGCGATGCATATCATTTGGCGGGTCAGGTCAGGGGCGGCAGGCAGTCGCCCCGCTCCTCCGCCGTGCTCCGCAACGCCGCGCCGCGCCCCTCCGTGTGTCGCATCGCTTGAGGTTGAGGATGTCGTGATGAAACAGCGACGCCGTCTCCGGCCCGGGCCAGGCTGGGCTGGGCTGGGCTGGCTGCGCCGGGCTGGGTTGGGCTGGGTTGGGCCTCGGAGCAATATACCCAAGACAAGAAACGCGAGGCAGAGCGGAGATGGTCCCTGCGCACGCAGGAGGCAACGGGCTCCACGACGAGGTACTACACAACGCTCTCCAGATTTTTGTGGGGCCGCGGCGTAAGGAAAGAGTTGGGTAGCTTGGCGTCGTCCTCCCCCCTGCCCTGGCCGCGAGCGCCGCGGGCCGCGGGCCCAACAAACGGACGGTGCTGTTCGACGAGGAGGGCCGCCGGGGCCGCCGTCATAGACAATGCGCCACACCGCGCCACGCCCCGGGCTGGACCGACCGGTTTCAAAGTAATTGCGTCACTGTGAGCCCCTCGCCGCTCAGGAGGCTCCTCTCCGTGCTGCGCACGCGCCACGCTCGCGCACGGAGTCTGACGGAGTGGCACCCAGGGCGGCTCGGCCCCACCGGTGGCACGCAGCCGCACGCAGCCGCACGCAGCCCACCCAGCCCGTCCAGGGGATCCCCTCCGCCACGCATCGCCGCCCCGCGGGGCTTTGGGCGCGGAATGCGCGTATCCCTCCAGCCGGTCCAGCGGAGGTGACGCCGCCGGGGCCGGCTGGCCACGATTGGTCAATTAATGTGTTACCCCCCCCCCCCTTGATCGCGAGGCGCCGCGGCCCCACGGCCGCCCCCCGCGGGCCGCCAGCCAGGTCTTGTGTGCAGATCCTCAAACAATCGGCTCGCACAGAAGGGCTGCTGTCATGACACAAGGTTGCGCTGCGCAAACCGTGAGCTGGGGTAGGGTGGGGTAAGGTGTAATACACCTGAGGGTGGGGCGGGGCGGGGTCGACCCGCCCGCCAGGCGTGAAGGAGCGGGTGAGCATCGCGCCCAAAGCGCCGCTGATGCAGAGAAAGCAAAGGCGTCGAGATGAGTTTTGTCTGACTGCCATTCCGACAGCAGTGTGTTGTGTCGCTTACGTTGACGTTTCACCCGCCGCGGCCCTCGGCCATGTCTGCAGGGCTGCTGCTACTGCCGCTACTGCTACTCGGCTGGCCCGGGCCGGGCCTCACCGCCGACAACGAAGGCCCCGAGCTGAGCGCCGCCGTCGCCCTCGTCACCAACAGCAGCAACGGCATGGTCCCGGTGCTCTTCAAGGCAAGTGTCACCCGGCGAATGGGGCCGAGACCTCCCCGTCGACGATGTCAAAGTCAACGCGTTGGTTGTGCAGGAGCTGTCCGTGCCGCTGGAGAACCTCGTGGTCGCACCCTTCGGCGTCGCCGTCAACCTCGGCATGGTGTTGGAGGGCGCACGCGGCCCAGCGGCGGCCGAGATCCGCGCCGCACTTGGCGTCAACGAGACGCAGGCGGAGACGCTGCGCACCGGCTTCAGGGCGGTGCTCGCGCGCTTCCAGGTGAGCTATGGCGACTTGTTCTTCCTCACCTAGGGAAGTGACTGCGGATAAACTCAGCCCCCTAAAATCAACCCTCTAGGCCACTGCAGACCACGAGGACGTGTCGGGTGCATTCACCGAGGCCACATTGCACAGCTCGCGACGGCTGCCTGAGGCGTACCGAGCTCTGCTGGAGGACTACTACCTCGCCTCGCTCTCCAACGAGTTGGAGACATCCGAGGGCATCAACGACCTCGCGCAGAACGGTAGGCAACGCCGTCGTCATGGCCGCAGGCCACGGGTATGACGCCACCCGCAGCGCACCCCCACTCCCGGCATTCACTCTCCACAGAGACCCTGGTGCTGTCGCTGTCCTCGGACACGGGAGTCATGTCGCACTGGCGGGACTTCCATCTGCTGCCCGTGTACGTGCTACTGTCGCACCAGGCCGCCGCGCCGTTCACCCGCGGCCCCAAGGACGTCCTCACGGTGCCCATGGTGCCCCTGGTGGGCGTGTTCCGCTTCGGTAAGGTGGCCGCCAAGGAGGGCCAGAACGCGGCCAGCTTCGTCGTGGAGGTGCCGCTCGAGGCCCGCGGCACCAGCCTCGTCCTGGTGCTGCCCCTGACGGCGGCCGTTCCGGTGGCCGAGGCTGTGGCGGGGCTGTCCCCGCACGTGCCTCTGCTCCTGTCCAAGCTCGAGCCCACCGAGATGGAGGTGCTGCTCCCTCAGTTGGCCGCCGTGTCGCAGGGTAAGGACCTGCGGCCCGCCCTGCGCGCCATGGGCATCAAGACCGTCCTGGACCAGAGCATGCAGCAGCACGTGGGCAGCGTCACCCAGGACGCTTTCGTCTCCACGTCCTTCGTCGCCATCAACTCCGTCAGCTCGGTGGGCGCTCGTCTGGGTGAGTACCTCATAAATATTGTTGCGGTTTTTCGTCTGCCCGGGTGGCGCGGCGCCTTGCTACTCACGTGCTCGCCCGGCTCAAGTCTCCGGAGCTGAATGAGTTGCCTGCCTCTAAGGCGCGCCCCGCGGGGCTGTGCGTGTTGCAGCCGAGCGCAGCCGCCGCCGCCGCCGGGACACCACCACAACAACGCCTGCTCCGCCGACGCCGCGCCTCGTCCTGAACCGCCCCTTTGCCTTCTACGTGGTGCACGACGCCGAGCTCATCCTGCTGGCGGGGATCGTTAACTCCCCTGCGCAGGTCCCGGGCAACAACGTGGTGACCCCGCGGTAGGGCCGCAAGGACGACGCGAACCGATGACTCGGGAGTCTGTACATAATAGTTTCTGAAACTCCCGTCGCGGCTGAGGATTCGAGCAATATTCTCAAAGCGAACTCGTTTTAATCACTCTTTGCGACTGTGACTTGATGAACATGTTCAGAAGATGGTGTGTTTACAATGTTTTGCTCGGAGAATGGATGTGCTCCCGACGAGCAGGCGTGAGAGAGGTAGGTCGAGTTGCCGGCGCTCACGCGCGTGCGACCGAGAGAGACACGAGAGCTGTGACGTGCGAGCTCCAGGTCGGACGGTGGCGCTCACGGGTCTCACGCTCACGCGTCATCGGCATCACCAGCCCGGCTCCAACCGCAGCTGCTTGTGCTTCTTGCCCGCGAATAACAGGTTCTCGTCCAGCCTTACCTGCGGAGGGGAAATCACCATCCATAGATAATTTCCGAAGCGTCGCCGTACAAGCAGTGACCTTGCAGACGGACACGTGCAAAGTTTCATTTATTTATTTTTTGGTATACGTGTGTTGCATTTTGTCATGGGAAAAATCCTTGGAGAAGGGCATGAAAAAGTGCTGGAACGAACGCTCACCAAATCCATCAACATCCTTTCGCCTTGTTCTTCATACATCTCTTAATTTATTTCATAGAATCGTATCACAATTTGTAGGTTCGCTTTATCGCCACACGCATGTAATGTAAAAATAAAGCCGTCATGTAGTGGAAGACGGGCATTCCAAACTTACCCTAAACGTCCACTAAGGGAGTGACACTCGCGCGTCGGTGGCGCGGGTCACACATCACAGAGTTCACCAAATGGCTGTCTTTCTAAAGTACGGATCATTATTTTAATTAAATTAATACCTAAAACTAATCCGGCTCGGTCTGTTTAAAAGTCTGTGATAGGCTCAGTGACGCGTCCCACGAACAGGGGCACCTTGCTGGTGCGGTCCACGATGATGGCGAGGAACGGGTGGTCCGCCTTGAACTTCATGTCATCCGAGAACGGCAAGAGGCTGAGGGTGTTGACCAGCACGGCTGCACAAGAAATTGGCGATTAACTTAAGGTAACCGAGACGACAAGTCGACGAGCATTGCAAATATTTTACTGCGTCGGTACCTGAAGCCGCGGACGCTGTGGCGCCCTCCTCATCCACCTTCATCTCGGCTTTGTGCAGCACGTCGGACACGGACAGGGGGTTGTCTGAGGCGCCTCTCAGCTTCGCGTCGCGGCCGAACAGGGCTGACATTCCCAACTGTCGCAAAACTCGGGCGTTAAATACATATTTTTTTGAAATCGTGTGTAATTCTTGTTTGACCACATTGGGCGGTGATACTCACGTGCTTGAGGACGGGGGTGAGGTCGGCGTTGGTGCCGATGTGGAAGCGGGGGATGGAGACAATGGCCCTCCGGGCCGGGGTGTCGGCCAACATGTCGAGGATGTGGCGGGAGTCCAGTCCCTGGAGGACGGCGTTCAGGCCGTTGCGCTCATAGGGCAACACCAGCAGCATGGAAAAGTGATCACCCTGCAGGTAGAGGGTCAACAAATCAGGGTTAGATTTCTCTTCCGGGACGAGTCTTTTCAATATGCCGGATGGCCCTGAAGACTAACGTCGAAGGGAAGCTCCAGCCACTGCGCCTTCAGGTCGGACAGCTCGCCCAGGCGGAAGTCGGCCACCTGCTGCATCAAGAAGGTGGTCACGTTGCGGCTCGCGTTGACCGAGAACACGTCCTGCTTGGACTTGCCGACGTCGAACTTGCGCAGCCACACGCCGCGGAAGTACATGGCGGAGGCGAGCACCAGGCTCGTCCTTGGCGACAGCGACCCTGTAACAGAGGGCGATGGCGATGCAGCAGACCCCTCCCCTCGAGAACTGGAGCCGGTCGCGCGCACCGCGACCGTTACCCGAGCGGTGCTCACTTTTGTTGACGAGGGCGGGGATGCGGCCGTGAGTCGCGTCCGAGGCCCAGCTGTTGATGGCGGCCACGGCCGCGTCCGGCTGCTTGAAGTCCACGGACGTGACGTTCATGTGGTAGTCGGCCTGCGCCGTCCTCTGGAAGCCGTCCTTGAGCTTCCACTCTGTGCTGAGGAACATGTTGTTGCCGTTCTCCAGGACGGACTTGGCTTTGCTTTTCTGCGGAACACGACGGCGGTGAACTCAACTGGTCAGTCTCAACGAGGTCGACGCAAACGCGTTGACGGGTAACGAGTACGGGTGGTGCTTCCTGGCCTCACCGTGATGGCGTTCTGCAGCAGGCTGGGCACCCCACGTCGCGAGGACTCCTTGTCGAGATGGAGGCCAGCTTCGAGCTGTGCGGCCGCGGGGCCGAGAGGGTCGGCGGCCTGCTGCAGCAGCGACAGCATGTGGGCGACACCGAGCGGCGAGACGACGGCGTTGCCTTCAGAGCTCCGCAGCACACCCTAGGACCAATGTCACACGAGTCAGTCACGGCTGGCGTTGGTCTGACGGCGAGCTCGTCCTGGAGCGCTGTGCCAATGTACCCACCTTGGCGACGTCCAGGGAGAACCGCGTGGCGGCCTGTGCGACCTGCGCCGGACTTGCGAGCGGGGCCGGTGCATTGCTCGGGCTGGGCTCGTAGTAGCTCGCGCCCCCGTAGTACGGCTGCACGGGGCGCGCGCCGGGCTTGGGCGCCTTGGCCGCCCCCGACGCGATCTGGGCGTAGGTCGGGTACGGCTGGGCCGCCTGGCCCTGCGCCCCGCAGGCCGCCAGCAGCGTCAGCAGCGCCACCACCAGCCCTGCAACGAGTCGAGCTCTTTAGTGGAGTCATGTCGCTCGGGTGCATGTGCGACCCTATGAGATCTCCCCAGAACATCCTAAAGAGCGTCTTCGGCGTCCTCAGCCCCCTCGTCGGGGAGCAGGCGGTCGTGCAAATGAGGATGACGAATAACTCTATCGCTACGCGGAAATTTTCTCGGCGTCATCTTCGGCTGAGTCGGCCGACTGATAAAAACAAAACCGCCGCCGCCGAAGCGCCTCGCTGTCCCACTTACCACTTCGGCCTCGTCTATTCGGGGTCAGCAGGCGCTCACAAAAATACACGTATTGGGAAGTCCCGCAGCGGTTTAGGCGTCGCACAGCTGCGGAGTCGTTCCAGGCAGCCACGGCGCCGCCACCACAACAGCCGCGCGTCGACACCGTCAGCACCAACCGTAGCACGGCGGGGGGCGCGGGGCGCGTGCGGCGTAAGGCGCAGGGTAGGCCTCACGAGCACGCCGGTGCGTGCAACGCGGCTGGGTTGCCTACCCACCAGGCGCTCCGGGGAAAAACCACGCGTCAATGCGGCGCGGGGGAACGGGATCGTCTGGGAGAAACGGCCGCGGTCGGCGGGGAGAACGGGGCGGGAGCGAGGTCTACGCCGTGCTCCGCGGCCCGCGCGACACACACGACAAAACTTCGATGGCACGGAGAAAAACCTCAAGCCGTCAACAACAACAAAGCGCGAGACACGCCGGGCGCGACGGACGCGGCCCAACGCCTTCGCTATGCTACCGCGACCTCCGATACCCTTCTGCTGCACGTCATACAATGAATCTAGAGTCCTCCGGGAATACGTATTTCTTGTTCGACCGAATGTGTGTGTCCCCGCAGGGAAATTCACGCACAGCGACCGCCCAGACTGAAGCTGAGCCCTCCAAGCCCGTCGCAGTTGTTCCGCACGCGCCGTGATCCTCCGCGGGGTCAGCAGCCTCGCAGGTCAGCAGATCGCAGCCTGGGGACACCCATGTCCCTCAGACGTCACCAGCACCCACCTGAGAACGCGACGGGCACCAGGGCCGTCATCTTGTGGCTCGCCTCGCGCTGTGTCGGCCGCGGAGCTGCGCTGTGCTTGTCGTCGTCCTTCCCTTCCGGTCCGCGGCTTTGCTCCGGGCTCGGGCTGCTCTGGGCAGGGCTGCTCAGGACGCTTCGATTACTCGCACGGCGTCCAAACACCAACTCGCTCGTGGCAACATGCCGGCAGAGCGCTGACTGCGGGGCTGGCTGACTGCACGTCTGACCGGCCTGCTGCCTGCCTGCCCGCCCGCCCGCCTGCCCGCCCAGCCCATCGAGCCTCACAACAGCAAACACCGAGGCAAAGACGGAGCCGCAGCGAAGCACCGGCGGAAGAAGAATCGCAAAGTCTTTCGAGCTGGGTGGGAGGGGCAGCGCGGAGGTCGTCGGCGGCGGCCGCGCGCTCTGCCGGTGAGCTCCGCGGAGCTGCCGGTGGTCCGCGAGCTGCGGCGGGGGCGGGCTCCCAACCGGCCCAGCGGCCGCAGGGGGACCCCCGAGAACCCGGCTCCCGGAGGTGTCTGTCCGTGCGGGGGCGGGCAGTCGTCCCGCACCCCTGATGTAGCGTAGTGCCCCCCGGTGCCCTCTGCTCTTGTCCAGCGGGGACCAGCGCGCCGCTGACACGTCGAAAGTGTTGTGTTGCAGCGGCCTCAGGCAACCGGGCATTGGGCTGTCCAGTGAGAGTGAGAGGGACCGAGAGATGCTGCCCAGCCGGCCCAGCCAGTGAGAGTAAGAGAGACCGTGGTGATGGTCGGGTTTCCCCGGACGCACCCCTTCCCTGCCCCTCCCTGCCCCATCCGTGTCTTCCCCGCCCTGCCCGCAGCAGTATTCTCTGCCGTTCTGCCCCCGCGCCCGGCTCGGAGCGCAAACATGTTTCGCGGAGGCCAGGTGGCACCGCGTGACCGGACTATGTCTGCTACGTCAGAGCAGAAGAGTCGCCGGAGCCTCGCCTTGTCTCGCGGAGTGGCGTGGCGCCGCGTAGCGTGAGAGGCTCTCAGCCGCGCCGCGGGCAGCCGCCGCGCCTCACCCCACACCGCGCGGGAGAGCGTTGGGCTGCCTACCGCGCCGGGCTCCATCGTCACAGCGCATCATCACGTGAGTCCCGACGGTGCGGTGGTCACAATGTGGTCACAGGTTGGAGGGAAATGACGACTTGGGTTTAGTAAGTAGGTAATCATTTTTATTAATATCATTTTTGTAAACAGAAAAGGAATCATGCTTTCACATGATAAATATGTACAACTTTTTATAACAGAGGGAAACAATTGGTAGGGCAGAAGACATATCCTGTCAGAAATTTACAGAACCACTTGATGGTCATTTTACAATCACACATAAACTGCCTGTTTACACAAAAATAATTTTCAAATATACTTTCCTCTCATAAATATTAGATAACTAAATTATATTTACAG